TTACATTATTCCAGTCGACCAAATTCTTAGCTATTTCACTAGTATTACTTCTATTCTATTGATTGAGCACAAGAAATTGCCAAGTCAACTGTTTCAACTACAATATAAAGTGATCGGAAATTGGTAATTTGGCCAATTTAACACCAAGTTCAAAATATTCTAATTTCAAAATAGGATCCAGAATAAACAATGTGGGTATTCCTGGCACTAAACTAACATTTCTTCTGTTCATTAGTTGTGTTTTGAGGCTTTACAAATGAATTCCATTTTGATTTTTTATTCACATAATGAATTTTTATTCAAACCAAAAAAGAGAAGATTTACTGTTATGCAATATTGTAATAATTGTATAAATATCATCACCACATTTGTGAATGTATATTAGACCCACCAGCTGGTGTGTATTAGACACGTGTGGTCGTTTGTTTACTCTTGAACATCGGCAAAAATTTAACATTTCCGCTTCTTTGAGCTCAGTTTCAAGCCATTTTCATTGCTAAAACCAATCAAAATCATCTCTATTTCTGCAATATGTCTTCCATTCTATCAAATGAGACCAAGAAATCGCAAATACAACCATAAAAAACATACGAAAAAACACTACAAATTCGCTGTTTTAATCGAAAATCACGGTCTGTTTTTTTCTCTCATTATACACTGTGTGCTGCGGGATTTGTTTTATGTGGTGCACACATACCACATAGATGTATTCTCTCATATCTAGGCCCAAATTTACCACTCACAGCTTATCAGACTGAGCCGAGCTCATGGCGTAGATCTACGGTTTGGACCCTGAACGTAAAGCCGTAGATCTACGGCACGGACCCTGAAAGGGTTAAAGGAGTATCAGTTGTAATAAGATTTCTTTGTACACAATGTCTTGCGGGCACACACAGTGACAGACCCATAAAAAGTACATTACAAAATACATTATGTATATTTTTATCTAAGATAACTCATGAAAATTACAATGTGATTTACTTCCATGTTTCCAGGGGTGTCACAACCTCAATCAATTGTAATATAAGACTTTCTTGTCAATATTGTTAGAAGACTTTTTTTTTTTTGTAAACAGTGTTAAAAGACACAATTCATATTGTACTAAAACTCCTTGAACATCTAATATGATTAGACAATGTTGTACATAGTGTCAGACACTGAAAACAGAAAAAAAGTTTTTGCAAACCTATCATAATTTGGCATAAATAATTTTTTTTTTTTTTTATTATCACACTGGCCGATTCCCACCAAGGCAGGGTGGCCCGAAAAAGAAAAACTTTCACCATCATTCACTCCATCACTGTCTTGCCAGAAAGGTGCTTTACACTACAGTTTTTAAACTGCATAAATAAATTTCCCAGTAAAAGTAGGTCTTATGCAGGGATGTGTGATGTTGCAATGGTTGTTCAATATATTTACAAATGGGGTTGTAAAAGAAGTGAATGCTCAGGTGTTGGCAAGACGTGTGGGGTTATAAGATAAAGAATCTAACACAAAATGGGAGTTGTCACAGTTGCTCTTTGCTTGTGACACTGTGCTTTTGGGAGATTCTGAAGAGAAGTTGCAGAGGTTGGTGGATGAGTTTGGTAGAGTGTGTGAAAGAAGTAAATTAAAAGTGAATACAGGAAAGAGTAAGGTGATGAGGAAAACAAAATATTTAGATAACGAAAGATTGAATATCAGATTGGAGGGAAAGAGTATGGAGGAGGTGAATTTATTCAAATATCTGGGTGTGGACGTGTCAGCAGATGGGTCTATGAAAGATGAGGTGTATCATAGAACTGACGAAGGGAAAAAGGTGAGTGGTGCACTGAGGAGTCTGTAAGCAATGAGAGGGATGTATGAGAGTATAGTAATACCAATGCTCTTATATGGATGTGAGGCATGGGTGGTGAATGTTGGAACAAGGAGAACGCTGGAGGCAGTGGAGATGTCATGTCTGAGGGCAATGTGTGGTGTGAATAAAATGCAAAGAATCCATAGTTTGGAAATTTAGAGGAGGTGTGGGATTACCAAAACTATTACCCAGAGGGCTGAGGAGGGGTTGTTGAGGTGGTTTGGATATGTAGAGAGGATGGAACAAAATAGAATGACTTCAAGAGTGTATAAATCAGTAGTGGAGGGAAGACGTGGTAGGGGTCAGCCTAGAAAGGTTGGAGCGAGGGGGTAAAGGCGGTCTTGTGTGCGAGGGGCTTGGACTTCCAGCAAGCGTGCATGAGTGTGTTAGATAAGAGCGAATGGACACAAATGGTTTTTAGGACTTGACGTGCTGTTGTAGTGTGAGCAAGGTAACATTTATGAAGGGGTTCAGGGAAACCAGCAGGCTAGACTTGAGTCCTGGAGATGGGAAGTACAGTGTCTGCACTCTGAACGAGAGGTGTTAATGTTGCAGTTTTATAACTGTAGTGTAAGTATGCCTCTGGCAAGATAGTGATGGAATGAATGATGATGAAAGTTTTTTCTTTTTTGGGCCACCCTGCATTGGTGGGAAATGGCCGATGTGTTAAATAAAATAAATAAATAAATAAATAAATGGGAAAACAAATATTGCTCTGGGCATTTTCCTGAAGTTGCCAACATGTAATCATCTTCCACAAATTCATAAGTTTTCATCATATTTTGTGTTTTTTTTTTATTGTATTTGGAAATATGAACTTTTTAAAATGTTAAGACTATTTGTTTTTATTTTTTTTCCCAAAATATGCTGTCCTCCACCACACACACAACACTTGCTCTTCTTGGTCTTAAGGATTAATTCTACATAATATATTTTGTTTTGGATTTGGGTTCAGTTTAGGTTTAAGAGAACATATCTCTCTAATAAATCTCTACACTGCTTAACCCCTTAACTGTCCAAATGTAGAGCTACATTTTTACTGATAGCACTCTGAATAAAGAGGGCAATTTTCTGTGTGCAGTAAGACTAAAAAAAATTTTTAGGGTCAGTATTTACCGAGATATAAGGCTATGAAGTTGGCGCTGGATGCTCACCTGACGGCAACATGGAGTCGTGCTGCTTGCAGAAATGTTGCTGATGTATCTTTTTTTCTCTTTTTTAATTTATATAATTTTTATGTTCTGATAATTACAATTTATAGTTCTTCTTGTGATTTTACAGCCAATCTTTGTTCTGACACTAATATTAGGTACTGAAATAGTAACCAAATAGTCACAAGCACACTGAGAGGTGAACATTTTCACCTGCCATGGTCACATACTATTGTCTAGAAATATATACAAAGTATTTATAGGTCCCAGCAATGTTTTAGACATGCTGGAGTATATATGAAACTGTTGACGGTGCAGCACTAATACTGATGATCATGCACTACTCCACTTAACTTTGGCTTTATTTGTTCTCATTGTTACACAAACATGTCTGTCTGTCTAACCCTGTCTGTTTATCTCTTTTTTCTGCTTATCTGTCTGCCTGTGTTTCTGTCTTGCTGTCTCTGTCTCAGAGATAGTCGTTCATGAACCAACAGGTATTATGCATGATGCAGAGTCATCATGTCTGATTTCTGAATAGGCAAAAATGCATATTACTTGCCAGTCATGCTTATTATGTCTTATATCTACAAGCACAGTATAGCACTTTGTCTGGATTTTTTGGGTTATCCTAGGTAATTTACACTATGTATGATAACTATACTTATGTGTACCTGAGAGACAGATAGATACAGCCAAAGTCAATCAGCTACCTTTATACCCTTGATATACCTTTGAAGAGTCTGGCCATGGGCCAGGCTCATCTGGTGCTTGCCTGGTCAACCAGGCTGTTGCTGCTAGAGGCCCGCTGCCCCACATATCCATCATAGCCTGGTTGATCTGGCACCTGGTGAAGATACTTGTCTAGTTTCTTCTTGAAGGCTTCTACACTTGTTCCAGCCATGTTTCTGATATCTTCTGGTAAGTTGTTGAATACTCTGGGACCCCAAATGTTGATACAGTGTTCCTTTATTGTCCCCACTGCACCCCTGCTCCTCACTGGGTTTATTTTGCACTTCTTCCCGTATCTCTCACTCCAATATGTTGTTATGGTAGTGTGCAGATTTGGGATCAGGCCCTCAAGTACTTTCCAGGTGTATATTATCATGTATCTGGCTAGCCAGCCAATCAGCTGGCCTGCCGAACACGTATTACACGTGTTCCAGAATCGTTTCTCTTTACTTAGGGCACAGGTTGTAGGACATTCTGGCAGATGGCACTAGCAGTGGTATCAAAACTAAAAGGGTGTTGCACAAATGTTCCACATGGGTTATTATCAAGGGGGGATATTTCCTGAACCCTTGTGCCCATCCATCTCAAAGCCACTAAACTCGGGTCAACATCACTTTCCTCTTAAAAGGGAGTTAATACACATAGCACATGAACCTGGTGTTGCCACTCTGCACACTGAGCCATTAAAATGGGCTCCCACAAAGTACTAAGTGGTCCCATATTTTTTTAATACTGTGCATACCAAGGGTTAAGACCAGGCATCTCAGGCCAATTGTGCCAAATTTGGAAGCAGGAAAAATAAAACTTTGATCTACGTTTGGAGCACTAGCAGTGAAAACATAGATCTACATTTGGACAGTTAACGAGTTAATACTGACACTCAAAAGAAATAATGATTCAGACTGAAAAAAAAAGATTGGACATGAGAGACTGATTATTAATACATTCACAGAGGAAGCACTAAACTTGAAAGGGTTATAGTGTCTGGAAGAATGATAGACAATCATGTATGATCCAAGGAAATTGAGGCCAGGTCCAATTTCATGGATCAAGAGCCCCTCACTGGCATCAGGAAAAAACTTTCGAGCCAGAAAAAAACATAGGAAAATTAAATCTTTTTGCTGGCTGCTCTTCAGTGAAAACATATGGTAGTCAAAAGTCACAAGTACAGAAGCCCACAAATTTGTAGGGATGATTGTAAGTGGTAATATTACTTACTTGTTAGAAAAATTATTACTGTAGGAAATGGCATCCTAATAACAGAGAACAGGTTTTCTTACCGCCAAACTCAGGTGGAATAAAATGAAGAGGATAACCAGTAGTTTTATGTAGTACAGGTTCTGACTCATTTAATGTCAGAACAGCTATACTCTGTGCTTTTGCCAAACTCACAAATACTTGATTGAGGTGGTGTAAGGCTGGGTTGTCTGTTGAAGTATAAAAAAAATCATTTTACCAAACCAAAGTTAATTTTATTCATGACAGTTTCAACAAAATGATAATATTATATAACTGGGAGTATCATTACCATCTAAAAATTTACAACAGACATTATGACATAGCAAAGGGGATAAATGGCATGCATAATGGATAATGCAGGAGAAGGTGCAATCAGGTACACAGGAATAAAATTAGGGAAATAATAAGCCCACTTACCTATAACTCAGGTCAACTTACTAGTAATTACAAAGAAATATATACCACTTATAACACTTATTTCCTCTTGGTAATCATACAACATACAAATGAAGTCTTGGTAATCAATAATTATGCAGGATGGGATGAAAATAAATTATCCAAGCTCACAGTCACTAGTGTCATGGTGTTTAGACAGGTAGACAGATTAAAACAGGCCCTGATAAACTGTTTTCAAAGATTCTAAAAGAATGTAAAGAGAATTTGGTAAACCAGTACATGTGTATCATTATAAATAGGTACAGTACATACTGTGCTGGATATGTGGAAAAATGGTATATGTGATACCTATTTAGAAAGTAGGAGACAGATCCTCAACTGCTAATTACAGATCAATCAGCTTGACCTCAATTATGAGAAAGTTGATGGAATCATTAACTGCAGATGCAAGTTTAAGTCCCGTTGAAAGACATAACTTGATCAGAGAATCTCAGCACATTTTACAAGGGGGCGTTCTTGCATGACAAATTTACTAACCTTTTTTTTTTCACTAAGGTACAGTAGTAGGTTGGTAGACAGCAGTCATCTAGAGAGGTACTACCACCCTGTTATGAGTGTGAAATGGAAACCTGTTAATGTTTTTACGCTCTGGTAGGGCCGCTGATCTTTTCTTTCAGGCTCATCAGTATGTAAGGTGACAGGCAAATCTTTCAAACTTCTACTTACATTTAGTATACACATACCTCTACTTTTTTATGTGCTTCATAATATTTCTTAATTCTGCAATATTTCCTTTCCAACCTAGGAAGCCCAGTCTGAGATTGGGCTATGAGGAAAATAATCCAGAACCACTAATAGCCCATCATCTTGATAACAGAAAGAAGTCCACTGTTGCAAAGACAGTCAAATGGGAGACTGTTTAATGCATTTTAAACAGTGAATATGGACACAGATTGTTCTGGTGTGCACTGGTTGCTCACTTTCTGGTCAAACAGTAGAATTTTTTATTGTCTTTATTTTGTTTCATTTATTGGTGTTCTGGTATATTATAATTAGTTATTATTTTACTGCTAGAGGACAACTTAACCTAAACTAAATAACATAAAGCAAGAAATTTACCACAGATGTATGTGAGAAATCCACATAGAATTTGTGAGGAAGAGTCAAACATACACTGTATATGAGGTGATATAGCATGATTGAGAATACAACATTGTGTACATGAAATTCAGTAAGGCTTTAGATAGAGTTCCACACAGGACATTGATAAAGAAGGTAGATGCACATGGTATTAGAAGAGAAATTCTATCCTGGGCATGACTGACTGATAGGCAACAGTGTTTAAGCAGGGAGAAATCAGAATGAGAACCTGTTACAAGTGGTAATCCGTAGGAGTCAGTTGCTCACAGTCTACATATGTATATGTCATTGATGATGGAATAAATAGAGATGTAAGTAAATTTTCAGAAGCCATAAGAATAGGCTGCCAAATAATTTCTAAGAGCATGAGGATACTACAGGATGATTTAGATAGGGTGGGGAGAGGGGTGGGATTAAAGGATAAAAAATCATATACAAAATGGGAGTTGACAAGGTTACTTTTTGCTGATGATACTGTGCTCTTGAGAGATTCTGAAGAGGAGTTGCAAAAGTTAGTGGACGAGTTTGAGAGGGTGTGTAAAAGAAGGTGGTTGAAGGTGAACAGAGATAAGAGTAAGGTGATGAGGGTATCAAACGAGTTAGGTAAGGAAACACTGAATATCAGATTGGAGGGAGAGAGTATGGAAGAAGTGAATGTGTTCAGATATTTGGGAGTGGACATGAAAGACGAGGTAAACCATAGAGTTGATGAAAGTAAAAAGGTGAATGGTGCAATGAGGTATATGTTGAGATAAAGAATGTTATCCATGGAGGTAATGAAGGGAAGGAGAGTATAGTGGTACCAATACTCTTATATGGGTGTGAAGCATGGGTTGTGAATCTTGCAGCAAGGAGGCTGGAGGCAGTGGAGGTGTCACGTCCAAGAGCAATGTGTGGCATATATGCAGAGATTTTGTAGTGTGGAAATTAGAAAGTGTAGAGTTACTAAAATAATTATTTAGAGGGCTGAGGAGGGGTTGTTGAGGTGTTTGGTCATTTAGAGAGGATGGAGGAGAATAGGATGACTTGGAAGGTGTATAAATCTGTACTGGAGGGAAGGTGGGGTAGGGGTTGTTCTAGGAAAGGATGGAGGGAGGGGGGTAAAGGTTTTGTGTGCATGGGGCTTCTAAACTGTTGTATTCTGAGCACCTCTGCAAAAGCAGTGATAATGTGTGAGTGTGGTGAAAGTGTTGAATGATGATGAAAAGTATTTTCTTTTTGGGGATTTTCTTTCTTTTTTGGGTCACCCTGCCTCGGTGGGAGACGACCGACTTGTTGAAAAAAAAAAAAATAAAAAGATGTTATCTTCATTATAGAATAATAAGAAAATATTATAACCTTTATATTATAATAATAAGGTAAAAGGACTCCAATGGAAATAAGTCACTCAGTCTGACTTTTTTGGGTTATCCCAGGTTCTCTACACATATGCTGCTATGTATGATAATTCTATGTAACTGTATTTGTGTATACCTGAATAAACTTACTTACTTACTGTTATAAGTGTATATTTTACTATATAATTAAAAGTGCATGTTACTTAACCCTTTCAGGGTCCGTGCCGTAGATCTATGGCTTTACGTTCTGGGTCCAAACCGTAGATCTACGCCATGAGCTCAGCTCACTCTGATAAGCTGTGAGTGGTAAATTTGGGCCTAGATATGAGAGAATACATCTATGTGGTATGTGTGCACCACATAAAACAAATCCTGCAGCACACAGTGCATAATGAGAGAAAAAAAACTGAGACCGTAATTTTCGATTAAAACAGCGACTTTGCAGTGTTTTTTCGTATGTTTTTTATGGTTGTATTTGCGATTTCTTGGTCTCATTTGGTGATGATATTTATACAATTATTACAATACTAAATAACAGTAAATCTTCTATTTTTTGGTTTGAATAAAAATTCATTATGTGAATAAAAAATCAAAATGGAATTCATTTGTAAAGCCTCAAAACACAACTAATGAACAGAGGAAATGTTAGTTTAGTGCCATGAATATCCACATTGTTTATTCTGGACCCTATTTTGAAATTGGAATATTTTGAACTGTGTTAAATTGGCCAAATTACCAGTTTCCGATCACTTTATTTTGTAGTTGAAACAGTTGACTTGGCGATTTCTTGTGCTCAATCGATAGAAGTAATACTAGTGAAATAGCTAAGAATTTGGTCGACTGGAATACTGTAATTGGCCTAAAATGGGAGTCAAAGTTGGCAAAATCGCAGATTCATAAATATCGCTGACACATCAAAATTCGCGAGAGCATAATTTCGTCAATTTTCCATCAAATTTCTTACGTTTTGTTTTATTACCTTCAGAAGAAGATTCTCTACCATTTCATAAGAAAAAATAACAAATTTTTTTTTTTTTAAATTCTTGGATCCTGGTGTGCACTTTGAAATTTGGCCTCTGGACCCTGAAAGGGTTAAAAGCAACATCAGGTGCTAGAAAAGGTACTATATCAGGTGCTAAAGTGTTAACTTTTTTTAATTGAATCTTAGTATACCCAGTGCCTCATACATTTTTTAGCTTTAACAATTTCAGGGTTGGTCCCGTACGTGTATGGCTTGATAGCCAGTGTTGGTCCCATATTTATACACCAAAATTCTAGCGCCTTCAAATCTGGTGGAAGAAAGCTGGTAGGCCTACATATGAAAAAATTGGTCTTTGTGGTCAGTGTGTACAATATAAAAAAATCCTGCAGCAAGCAGTGCATAATGAGGAAAAAAAAACTCTGACTGTTCTTGGTTTAAAACAGCAACTTTGCAGTGTATTTTTGTATGGTATTTATGGTTGTATTCTTGTTTTCTTGGTCTCACTTGATAGAATGAAAAACATATTACAGAAATAGAGATGATTTTGATTAGTTTCATGATGAAAACGACCTTGAAATTGAGCTCAAATTAGCGGAAATGTCCGATTTTTGCTGATGTTCAAGAGTAAACAAATCATGCCAAGCGTCCAATACACATCAACTGGTGAGTCTAATATTCTTTCACAAGTGCGCTGATATTGTTTATACCATTTTTACAATAATGCAGTAGTCTGCATAACAGTAAATCTTCTATTTTCTGTGAGAATAAAAATTCAAAATGGAAAGCGAGAATAATATAAGAGAGGCCTGGAGACATGACTAATGAACAGAGAAAATGTTATTTTAGTGCCAGGATTGTCTGTCTTGTTTATTCTGGACCCTATTTTGAAATTGGCATCTTTTGAAATTTGGATGAAATTGGCCAAATTGCCAATTTCTGACTACTTTATTGAATAATTGAAATCGGTAAATGGGCAGATTCTTGTACTCAATCGAAAGAACAAATGGAGTTCTAGTGAAATAGCTATGATTTTAGTTGATTGGAACAATAGAATTGGTTGAAAATAGGGCTTAAAGTGGGCAAAATCGCCGATGTGTAAATATCGCTAACTTTGGGAGAGCATAATTTCATAAGTTTTCCATCAAATTTTGTACTTTTGGTATCATTACCATTGGAAAAAGATTCTCTATCATTTCATAAGAATTTTTTTTTTTTTTTTGAAAATTTTTTGACCCTGAGAGTGTAATGATCAGGGGTCTCAACCCTCAAAGGGTTAATGATAAATTTAATCCGTATATTCATATTTGTTATTGATTAACAGTAATTGATTCTC